CCACCCTCCTTATTCACCGTACAGAGAGCTCCAAGAGAATACCACTTATTCCGGTCTTTACAGAACTCCATGAATGGAAAGAAGTTCCATAATGAAGAGGATATCATAAACCACTGGGATCAGTCTTTTAACAGTTTACTCCAGACATTCTATGAACATGGCATTATGCTGTTAGTGGAAAGATGGGAAAAATTCATATTGAATAATGGTCAATATATTGTAGATTAAAATAAATTTTATGTCTACAATACATTAAGTTTTATTTCAATCTGAAAAACCGAAAGAACTGATTTGCCAACCCAATAGTTCCTTCTCAGTCAAATCAAACATGGCCGTAGCTAGTCCCTGTGTCTGATCTTAACTTGAACTAACTGTATATATATATTTTGTCATCTGGGTATTGTATATAAATCTGTACAAATAGATACCATGTATGCCTCAAAATTTATTCTTTCAATTAAATATACCGCTTAAAGTTATACTCACAACAGGAATTAAAATGTATTAAACTGATCACATCTTATTTCTATACCAGTAAAATATTTTGCTTTGTAACGAATCTAGGAAGCAGTGAATAATTAGGTGAAGGATGCAAATCAATGTTGCACTCCCATGAATATTGAGTGTGCACGTGCGTGCTTCATCAAGAACTACTTAGTTAATAACATAATATAGTTAATACAGCAAGTAATGTTTAGCCTGGCTAACAGTAGGAGGAAGTATTAGCGGAAGACCCAAAACTATAATCAAACTGGTCTTACCGCCCTAACCCTAATTAAATCTATATTTAGATCCGAGGTACTCAAGGGCTGTTCGCACAAGATTAGTAAATTATTTATTCATTGCTAAAGATGATATTAATGTTATGTAAACTTTTTTTTTTACTTTGCTACTAATGTGCAATGACATGAACCCTCTGACTAAAAACAAAACTCATTCAAATTAGTGTTGCCATTTTCACAGCTTTCCCATGTTAGGAAATATATATACATCATTATATGTAATAAAAATTGTATTTACTATATTTATATCTATCGATAATCGTGTTCGCTATTCTGGAATGAACATCCCATCAAGGTAGGGTTTCTATCATTGAGGTTATAGGTCCAAGTATATACATTTTAATTATATATAAATATTGAAAGAAGTGAAAGATAAAAACTGCATTTGTCGTCATTTTGAAATATTTTTCAATTAATATATCATGTATTCTATGTATCTAGATAGATTTACAGTTACCTATATGGACATAAAGAACATCTGACCAGTAAAGATGTAGGGAACTATTTTTTTATGTATAAGTGCTTTCAGAAAGAAACCGTTTTTTAAGGATATAAGAAAAAATGATAAAATTTACAAGAATAACACAAGTGAGGATAATTCATCAATTCAATTGATATTTATATCCTATTCATTAAAAAAAATATATTAAATCACAGATGAGGAATTGTCAAAAGAATAAATTAAATTTTTATTGTGCAAATAACATTTGTTTGACTTCTTTGGGTTATTATATATTTTTATTTAATTTATATATGTCTGGTATGTCTACCCTAAATATATATATATATATAACAAAATCAATAACTTTTATAATGTTACGACTAAATGTTCAATCCGAGAATGAAAACAAAAAATGCGGGAATGAAACCAATGCAGAATTGGACGAAAATTATTGAGGAATGATAAATGAATTTTGTATTGATTAAAAAAAATCATAAAAAAATTCACAACTAAAGAATTATTTTTTATGCGTTAGTCGTGACTAACATAAATGCAATAAAAAAATCGCTTTTGTTTAAGCGACTAACGACTAAAAACTTAGTAGTTCATTCATGAATTAATTTCCGACTAAAACGTATGTTAAAATTGTTTAGTAAATTTTTTGTTCTAACAGCCCTCCATTTTTGTCAAATAGATATCCATTATATTCGGTCCTTTGGACGGATAAGGCTTTTTCATTGGGACGTTTTCAATTTTTTGAAAGCTGTTTTGGTTTTAATTTTAAAAAAATTAATTATTGATATAATTAATACCAATTTATTTTTTAAATATGGCTCGATATGCTAAGATACTGCCATGTCCAGTACTTCACCCGACATCTTTAGCTCTCTCTTTTTCGACTCAGACATTGTACTAAAAATAATAAAAATTATCTTAGTTTCATTTAAGATTATGTATTCAGGAAGAATACATAAACACTTTTATTTATCTTCTTATTTTTTTATTAGGAAGCCTACGTTTATAATTTTTTCATATTTAAGGCAATAATACTTCTAATTTTCTTCAAATTCTTTTAATTACATTTGTTATCTCTAACGTTTAGGGACAATTTTCCCATCTTCAGAGCAATCTTTATCTTCACTTTTTTTTTTGATGTGGCACCATTTGTCAAAAAATCAAATATTTGTCACATTTTTAAAAAATAGTTTTTGGTGTTACACATCTTTTTTCATATTCATTGATAAGATGTGTAACACCAAAAAAAATGTTTTTAAAAAATGTGACAAATATTTGATTTTTTGACAAATGCCACGAAGAAATCAAGAAAAGAAAGTGAAGATAAAGATTGCTCTGAAGATGGGAAAATTGTCCCTAAACGTTAGAGATAACAAATGTAATTAAAAGAATTTGAAGAAAATTAGAAGTATTATTTCCTTAAATATGAAAAAATTATAAACATTTTATATACATATATGTATATATATTTATAAATAAAAGGAATCAAACATTCATAAAATAATTAATTTAAAAAATCATCAACCGTTGTAGAAGTTGGCGGTTTTTGATAAAATAACTATTTACTATTTTTAACAAGTTTGTAGTTTAAAACGAAACGATGTTTTGGTGCTGTGTTGTTTTTACCTGTCACACTTCTAGAAAATGATTCTCCCCATACCAAACTAATTAATTTGGGTATAAATCTGAATATTATTTGAATTATAGAATATTTAATGGCCTGGCAGGATAAAAACTCCAAATCATTGTAAATTAAAACCATGTATGTATTTTATTGGTTTATTAGCTTCTGTCTCAGCAGTTACTTATTGCAAGATGATTACCATTAGAGTTGCCCAAAATTGGTCTTGGTCTTGCACTTTGCAAGACCAAGACCAACGCCGCCTACCTGCTGCAACACCAAGACCAGGACTGGTAAAAAAAATCGATTTTTTAAATAAAAAGTAAGGCAAAATAGTAACTAATACTTGACAATCTTAGTTACTATATGTTAATAATTGGTATAACCAATATACTTTTGCATTAACTTCTCTAATTTTTCATTTGGGCTCAGTTAGGTTTCTTCTATCTAAAACATTACAGTAATATCTCTATAGTAATAAGCTAATAAGTAACTGCAAGACTGTTGCGAAGGTCTTGCGCAAGACCAAGACCATGACCAAGACTGAGTTTTCAAGACCAAGACTCGTCTCCAACTCGCATTTGGGCAACACTAATTACCATACAAATGGCATACCGTTAAGACCTAGAAACCTAGTCTATTTTTTAAATAAATAATATTTCAATAATATAAGTTTGGAAAAGCTGCGCACTCCTCACGCGATCGATCACATTTTAAAACTCTTTGATTTATTGTTAATCAACACAATCAGTTTTGAGTTTTATAATTTTTTTTTTCATGTTTATAGGATTTATTTATAGATGATGAAAATGGAAATTCGTGAATGATTCGGCATCGTTTGTGGAAACCGTTTACATTTAAATGTAAGAGTAATAGCAAATTTATATGAATTTTTATTCAGTTTTTATTCGAATTGATTATTAATTACGACTAATATTTTAGTCGTGAATAAACGACTTAAAATTAATTCGAATAAATTTTCAATCGACTATCGCCCAACTCTTCTGAACGAAAGTAATCTTACACGCTTTCGATAATGTACGAAATCTAGGCCACTTCCGCAACCATCTACCCTCTTCATCTTAAACGACATATTACCCGTGAGAAAATAAACTTTTTAGTCATCTTGAAAATTAGCCATCAGCAAAATGTGATCAAGTCTCCATCTAAGACTAAAAAAAACAAACACATTTTATTAAATTGAAATTGTAATGAGAGAACTGGAGGATCCAAAAGGGTGTGCGCTTTCTCCTGATGAAAAATTCTTTATAAATTTTAATATGTCTGATGGTCATCAGGCTAAATTATTAATTATTAATTTATAAAAGCATCTTAAGGCCGGTCCTTCTTCATGGAGCGCTGATTTCATCAAATATATCAGCCTCGACGACATCTAAGCTCTAGCAATTCCAGAAAGGAGTGCTGTGATGTATTGTGAGACACATTTCATTAAAGAGGACAAAAACAGAACAACTCCACTATATCTTAGGATTACCGACTTTGTAAGATTTTATAACTCTCGAGAATAACAGTTTTCTTTTTTTTATAGCCCGCTATTCTTGGCTCATCCACTTTTAGGACACTGACTCCGACGGCACGACCACAGAGGCAAACACTTACAAACAGCCTAAAAATTGACTCGATTGAAGACTTACTAACTGACTAGACTGCCGCAAGACAACTAGCGAGCACCACCATTTGAATATCGTTTCATTAAATATCAATTGCAACGCCTCGTAACTCTCTTGTAATGCATACCATCTATACAATACAAGGAATACTCTCCTACAAAGTTGAGATATAAAAATTTCAATAACAAATTATTAGGGCTTTGAAAAAAAAGGTCATCAACCTCAATTATTACACGAGACAGTCCAAGTAAAATTTGTTTCATGAGGAACTTCACAGAGGATTTGACTGATGTTTAGTGGAATTGATTCTGCGAATCTACTTCAGGGATGGAAATGAATTTACGAAGATATAGGCATTAGAAGATATATTTTCAATATTGTTCTAACAGAATATTTTTTAACCGATATATTGACTGAATATTTCTTTTATAATTGAGAATTTTGTCGGTAGATTTTATGTTTTATTAATAATTATTATGCGATTGTTTATTTTAATAAATATTTTGCAGTGCTGACCCCCAGTACAGCTCGGCAGTGATCAACAGTAACGTGATAATCCGGAGCAACGGGGAGGTGGTGTGGCTGAGCCATGGGATATACAAGAGCAGTTGCCACATTGACGTCCAATACTTCCCCTTCGACATACAGAGCTGTCACATGAAATGGGCTTCCTGGACCTATGATGGATATCAGGTGACTAAAATAAGAAAATTCAAGAATATCACTCTTTTCATTTAACGAAAAATGTGACTCCCGCTTCAACTTCTTTTTAATTTCATTTTTCATTCAAATTTTTCATGAACCATTTTTACTTTGATTGAAAAAAATATTTAATTGCGGATACATTTCAACAGATCTGGGCAATATTTCAAATTAAATATTATAAAATATAAAATAAAATAACTGTATTCTATTTTGGATTTTAAGAAATTAAATCTTGGCTTTCTCTTAGGCAGACGACTAACATGGAACCCTCATACTAGACTTAAAAGACAGGAACTTAACCGACGATATGGCCAACTATACATACTACCGAATAGAAAATGTAAACCTTCTATTGAAAATAAAATACTTATCTACAAGACAATACTGAAACCTACTTGGACTTACGGGCTTCAACTGTGGGGAATGGCAAAATTTTCCAACATCAAACGCAACCAATCCAAAGTCCTTCGAACAATAGTCAATGCTCCTTTCTATGTAACCAACAAAACCCTACACCATGACCTTAATATCCCATTTGTCCTAGACCTTATCCCAGCAAAATTCTCCAAATTCCACCAGAACCTTACTCATCATCCAAATCCCTTTGCATAATCTCTATCCAGCACCACCCATCCATATAATCCGCAACAAGGAGGTTGAAACGGCAATGTGCCCGCGACCTTTTATAGTTTGTAAATATTAGATGCACTACATACACTCACGACATGAGTGTATGTAGCTAAAGCACTCTTGCTCAATCTCCACTGGGTTTAGCCCCAGTGACGTGGTTGACAGAAAAGTGCAGAGATCTCCTGGAGTCATGCTTTTCCCTGCACAGTTGGAGGGACAAGTCTGGTTTGGAGTTCTCTCGCCAGATTTTAAATATTGTACATAGAGTGTGAATTTGATCTGTGAACACTATTATAAATGTCTTTGAGACAGATCGTAATATTTTTCAATAAATTAGTTTTTAATAAAAACGAAATATAAAATATATTATTTGCACTTTTAGAATAGAAAAAAATTAGTAGTATTTTCTATTCAAGATATAAAAATACAAAAAAATATTTATTTATTTTTGTATTTTAAATACACTAAATATATTACTTGACCGAGCAGAATCCTATTAATCGGTTGTAGCGAGGCTTATAGTTTGCACCAAAATTCTTTCACATAAAAATTGACCTTAAAAATTTAGGATTGATTGTGTTAAAGTTTTTATAAAATTGGTTTGGACGTTAAATTGATTAGACTTAAAATAACCATGAAGTTCCTGTTGTCAGAAAGGTCAGAAAAGCATATTACGTCAAATAAACAAGTAAAGATGGACTGACAAATTTTTAGATGGATAAAAAAAATGTTCTTTTTTTCTTTAATTTTATTTTCAAGTACTTTTTAGCAATGGAAAGAAAGATTCAATTTATGTAAATCTTAGAGAATATTTCAAGTGAAATAATTTGACAAAACGTCACTTTTATTATAAATTACTCACAAATATATATATATTTTTCTTTTTTTTTATTCTTTTGCATTACAGGCCTTACATACATTTTGCTGCTTTAATAAGCTTGCTCCATCTCTATCTATCTTGGATTATTTCTTTTCAGTTGTCTGCATAGCATCTTCGTTGATTCTATTGATCCATCCATCAGCTTGTTGGTCTTCCACATGGTTTTTTTGCCTTCTATTGAGACACTAATGGTTATGTTGAGGTTTCCGGATAGATTGTTCTGAGCTACATGCTCTTACCCTCTTACCATCTTACCCTCCGTGTCTTCATATCTTGAGATACTGATTGACCAGTTTCTGTAAGCAGCTCTTTCTGGATCTTCCTTCTCCATGTGTTAGTACTCTGATCCCAGATTGCTCCGGTTATTACGCGGAGGACTTTACTCTCAAATGTTTCAACATTTTTTTCTAGGATGCTGGTTAGTGTCCAGCTTTCACAATCATATATTAGAACTGGCTTTATCATAGCATTGTACATCCTTAATTTGAGATTTATTTACTTGTAGTAAATAAATGAAAGAGAGGCCATTCATTGAGGTTATTGTGGAGCAGGGATGGCAATCGATGGTTGATAGTATCGATATATCGATATTTATCATCTGATATTCTATATTTAACCATCGATAATATCTGCTTCGATATTATCTACTATCGATATTGTCTCTTCGATATTTTTAATTCTAAAATAAGAATTGAAATTGTCGTTTTCGGAAAGGTTTTGATCTTATAACCCTTTTTCTCGAAACAATTTACCTGGGTCAATCCATGCCAAATCATCCAGAAAAAGTTCAATTTGTAACCCACCCCCCTCAGATCCTAATGATTTTTTTTAAATATCAAGTATTAAAATATATATATAATTAAACAAATATACATGCAATTAAAATGCCAATTTTACCCAATTCTAACAATTAATTTCAGAATTATGGGTTTTTAAACTTTTGAAATATTTGAAGTAGGAAAGACATTTTGGGTTTAAAACCAGCATGTGTCTGTTTGGTTTTATTTTTAAAACTAATATTCATTGACCAAGAGTTTTAAAAATGTACTCATTTGTCGCAAATTTAATACAAAATCTGCTGATATTATAAGTTTTAGCATTATAATTTTTCCTTATGTTTAAAAAAAAGCTTAAAGATAAACTTTCAAAATAATGATAAAAATATATAAAACTACCTCTAGCTAAAATCCCTCTCCACATACCCCAATACAACCTCATATTAGTGAAAACAGCATAAACGTTTCTACCCAATGCAAAATTAATATTAGTGCGACCTTGAGTTTGAAGAGTTTCATTATACTTTAAACACAATACTGTAAATTTTAATTTACCAGTTTCAAATACAAGTGAAATTTGCTTAAATCATTCTCCAAATATTCTAGTATAATCACATATCACTGAAAAGAGGATGATTTTTTTTATCAGATCGTGAACAAATATTTGTTGAATTTTGAGTTATAAGAAATTTATTATAATGTAAATAAAATAAGTTTCTGCGTTAGCCGGAAATGATGTTCTAATCGATATCGAAAAATATCTGTAGCAAAAATCTCTCTACGAATACTCCCATACAACCATCTATTAGTGAAAAACGGATAAAATTCTCTATCAAATGAAAAAATAATATTTGCGTGATTTTGAATTTGAAGAGTTATATTACAATTTAAATTTAATACATTAAACTTTGATTTATCAGTATTTTTATACTGATTAATTATAGTAATTTTTACTTAAATAAATTTCTATAGTCTTTCTCTGAATACAACCATAACTTCAAACAACATGCAATACTCTTCCAAACGATAAAATAACATTGGAGGGGGCCATTGAGTTTAATGAGATTTATCATAAATTGATCATTAATCATATGATTAAAAAAAAATTCTACGTATTGCGGTTTCGGTATGGTCAACGAAATAATGTTTGTATTTATTAAATTGGAGAGTGAATGACTCCTTAAATGTTTAGACGGAGAGGTCAAAATGTGTTTAGAGGATTCTTACTACAGATTCATTGGCTCTCGTCTCTAATCTAAATTTGTCTATTTAATTAAGTATTAAAAACTCTTATATACCCATTTGCTGATTACAAATAAAAATGTTTAATAGCTTCTCAATTTTTTCAACGACTGCAATAAATATTAAAGAAACATTGTCCAAATTGATTTAAAGGTTTAGCCATAACAATCGCGTCCTTGGTTTCTTTTCTAGATTATCTACTAATATTTCTTACCATCAGAGCTATAATATTTTTATCACTTAAAAAATTAAAGGGTAATGGTTACAATTACTTTTGTTTATTTAGCTACTTGTTACTTTTATTTTAACCGGCGCAAAAAGGTTGAAGACCTCTGTTATGTTTATTATAAAAGTTGAGAACACTTACAGTAAATAAAGGAAATCGACGAAAAGTTTCTTGCTGCTTGTCTTGTTGAAGAAATATCAAGGACACTTATCAAAATGAAGTCTATATAGTGATTCTGTCTATATAGCTTAGATAGAGGTTCTTTTCTACTGCTATAAGAGTCCAGTATATTCTAGTCCCGAGGAAGGACCCGAAGAAAGATGTCGAGGATTTATTTTGAAGCTCCTAGTTATGAGACTATTCTTCAAGGATCCTGATGCGTGACTGGAAAAGTTTAGGAAAAACGTGGCATCATAAATATTTACGTTCATCATTACATTTCTATAAATAAATTTTAAACAATTTTAAGGTGCTGAAATTAATACATTTTTTATTTAAATTTATCTATGTATGAAGTAAATACTACAGGGAAGTAATGCAATCTTCAAAAATTTTCTTTCTGCGTTTTCCTCTGAAAAACTCGTTTTAAGGTCCTCTGGACCCAAATAACTCAATAACTAAAATTATTTATGCTAACTTCATCGATCAAATCTAAATACAACGTTACACCAATATAAAATCAAACTGGTCTTTAATATCAACAAGGAATTGTTCTCATTCAAATAGTCCTAAAAGAATTATATGCTAATATTTCTCCATCTCAAGTACGTTTAATTTGGTTTATTTGAAATAATTAAACGTCTTTCATTGTTAGTAATAATAAAAAAAATTTAAAAACCACACCCCTGTAGCCTTCCCACATTAGTACATGTGACAAAAGTCTATTTATTGTTATTCTAAGCTAACTATTAAAAATATTTTGAAGCACATCACCATTATTAATGTTTCACGTTACTCATCAAACAAGTTTGTAATGAAAAAAAATATGTGTTATTCGATTTAAATATGAACTAAAATAAATAAATTACTTTTAAAATATTGTATTTAATTTCTTATGTGTTTCATTTTCTATTCTGGAGAGGAATAAAGTTTTAGCATGAATTTTAATGATGGTGTACTTTATAGGGTACCTCATGTACCCTGGCCAAATGGCAACAAATGTGCCTGAGGTACATGATTTTAAATTATTTCTTATTTTTACCATTTATATTCACAAATATGTGTAAAAGTCGAG